TGGCACAGATAACAAGGATGAGTGGAAAGGTATATCAGCAAGTAATTTATTTAATTGACACATTTACTGATGTGCTACTGGATGGTGGAATTCTCTGGAACTGACACAGCTTGGGCAATTTAGTGTCGAAAAATTGGAGGAAACTTGGCACAGATAACAGGGATGAGTGGAAAGGTATATCAGCAAGTAATTTATTTAATTGACACATTTACTGATGTGCTAACAAATATTTAACAACTGGCTCTCAAAAACAAAGTTTTGAGATTTATATAGTATTTGATTTATATAGTATTTTTTATTTCCATGATATAAATATCCCACCATTGCAGATTTTAAGCTACCAACACGATGTCACTCAAAGCAGAGCTGGAAAGAGATGTGCACAATTAGCAAAAGCGGCTCTCAATTGCCAGTCCACACCAGCTCCAGCACCTCACTGTGTATTTTCATAAGTTTCTGTACTTGAATAATTGTGGAAACATTTTACCCAGTGAAATCGATTAAGAGTCCAGAGTCCAGCATTAATACAACACTTTGAGGGCAAGAGGTCTTGTTTTCTTTTCCCAGGTTAAATGCCATGTTGAAGGATCACTCATGTGGTGTTACATGTTGTAGCATGCACAAACAGGAATTGCAAACTTGCTAGAAATTCAAGAGGTCATCCTCTGGGCAGCAGCACATAAGCCACCTCAGAAAGAGAGAGTTGGGTGTGGGGTGCTTAGTGATCTTAGAGAGAGATTCCATATTATTCCTTGATAGAGAAATGTGTCTAGGTCTGCACCTTCCTAATGTGAAAATGAAAGGAATATATTCCTAATTTCTTCCATTTGCACAGGATTTCGGGGCTTATAAAGGGCTTGTTGCAAGATGGCTACATTTTACGTATCCCGTTTCTAGTTGCTCATTAAGACAGACTGATAGGTGGTAAAACTCAGGTTTCTAGGTCACTTTTGTCCACATGAACAATTGACTTGTAGTGCATCTCTCCTGTTATTTGCAGATGGAGTTCTCTATGAAGCACTGCTGGGAGGGAGAACCATCATTTTAGTGAGGCTTGGCTCTGGGTCACGCCTGGACTAAGCACTTTCCTTACATTGTCTCTGAAGCCATCCAAAAACCCTGTGAAGTAGCTACTATTGTTCTCTTCCATTTTGCAAATACAGAGGCTCAGAGATGTTAAATTACTTGCCAAAGGTCAGGAAATTCATAAATGCCTGAGCTGGGACAAAAACCAGGGCTGTCTGACACCTAAAGCCTATATTAAGAATCTCCAGACTGGCTTAGGTCAAAGGTTTTAATAAAATTGCAGATATTTAATGTGCTAATTAGACAGGATGACCTAAAAGATTCCAGTGTAAGAAGCACTAGCTTAACTGGAGGGAGGGCATATGTGAGTGTTGGGGGAGGAGGACCACGACAAGGGTGATTAAAAAAAAGAATGTGTCTACATGCTGTCATGCCGAATTGGGTAAGTTAAGAAGACTGTGTGTTTGTAATTGGCCTTTTCTGTGGAAAGAATAGGCCTGAAATAGGTCAGCCTTTCAAATTTCCCTCTGCTGCACCCTTTGTAGCCTGTGGCCCCCTTTTACATGAACTGTAAATTAGACACCAAGTTCCTTGACGCCAGAGACTGACTATACATCTCATGCTTTGCTATTGCTGAATCTCCAATCCTAACCAGTGTCTGACATAGTAGGTGCTTAAATATTTGCTGAATATTGATGGTGGTGATGATGATGAAAGTAACATGACTACTCAACTCAAAATAATAGCAACATAGTCTTCCCACACATGATCTCATTTAATCCTTGCAGTAACTCTATGAAGTAGATACAATATTTCTCCCTAATTTGCACACAAGAAAATCGTGGCTTAGAGAGATCTTGTAACTTGCTCAAGGACACAATAATCAGTGGAAGAAAATCAGCTTTGCCTGATAGCAGAACCTTGGCACTTAACATTATCCTATAGTCTGTTTATTTATAATGCATTTTTGTATTCCATAAGACAAAAATATAATTTGTTGTTTTATGTTATTTCTTAATAACATAAGAAAGCTCATGTTATTAAAATCAGATGAGAGAATTTAAGTTTTTTGAAGGAAGGGACTCTGTTTTGTGTTATCTGCTTCCCCAGCATCTAGAACAACTCTTGGCCTATATTAAATGCTCAGTAAATTTTGGGGGGTGTATATGAATAAAGGAATGACTAGAAACATTTCAATAGGAATAGGGGTTATAAACTAGAAAATTTCAGTCTTCTGGCAGATTGTTTTTTGCATGAGTTTTAAGAAGGGTAGTTCTATAAAACCTAAATATCACTAAACAAACTCAGTAATTTACTCATTCATTCAAGAAATATTTATCTCCACTCAACAAATAAAATTAAGCATCTACGAAGTGACAGACACCCAATATTGGAAATCTAATGGAAATGGTTGGCAATAATAAGTAAACAAATATAAAATGCAATGGGTCATAAAGAGATCCAAAAAAAAAAAAAGAAATGTGGAGACAGAAAATAACAGAGACAGGGACTATGGTGTTATTGGGAAATGACTCAATGAAATAGGGACAGTTGAGGCCCTGAAGAACACCAAGAGCATGAGGAAGGGGCCTAGAGAATAAAATGTGGAAATGTCAAGCACTTTTGGAAATAACTTGACATGTTGGAGGAATAGAAAGAAGGCTAGTGATTCTTCAGAGCAGTGGTCTACACAGTCCTCTCAGCACCACCACGGTGTAGTGCAGGGCTTCTCTCTCTCCCTTACCTCCCTCACCACACCTTAGGGTGTTAACGCAGGTAGTCAGCAGCTGTTTTCCCCTTAGTTTTAGAGGGGAGGGGCTAGGTCTTCATTGCTCATAGTAGAAGAGAGTAATCCACAAAATAGAAATCGTGAAATCTACTTAATCAACAGAAAGCCATCTAATTTGCCTTCTCAGAATTTATGTCTTAGGAAAAATGTTTGTACTGTTGAATAAATGCAGGAAGAATTTTGCAGGAAATGTGAAAGGGGAAATTTAATAAAGCCAGAGGCTCATTCTGCGGAGGGGACTTTTCCCCCATTGGTTATAGTGGAAAATTCCTCAAGCACAGTCTGGGAAACGAACCTGAGCCTATCTAATTCATCACGCAGCTGTGTTCCAATCTAGCCCATGTTCAAGGAAGACAACGGTGAGAGTTTCCTAAATACAATTGCAAGGTCACTCCAACTGAAGGCAAGATTTCTTATCATTGTCATACACTAAGAGATGAACTTAGCTTTTTTCCCCTCTCCCTGCCTTGACCCCCACCCTCCACCCCCAGCTTACCCTCCCCATTATGCCAAGTTCCAAGAGAAGCTGGACTGTGGAACTGCAGGTGAACTGCACTGGAGCCTTGGTAATGAATACAGCTCATCACATGGAAGAACCAGCCAGGACAATTGGTACTGAAGTGGATTAAATCAATTTGCACCAGTCTTCATCTGTTACTGAAATTTCATATGTGGATTGAAACAAATAGTCAAACAAGTGTGTATGACTTAATCACCAGATGAGAATGAAATGGATTCGATTGGAAACTCCCCTCCCCCAAAATTATATCAAAGAACATTTCTGTTTTCCCAGGAATATGCGGTCACTTTCTGGAGATGGGGACAATGACATTTTCCACCTGTCAGAAACATCTATTATTCATGGAAATCTAATGACAATTCCCAATCTCAGTTAAGGACTTGTTTTCCCATTTTTTTGAACTTCAAATACTTTCTAAATTGTGTTAGCTGAAGCATTGTATGTATATAATTAACTCACAGGTCCCTCTGGGCTCATCTAGCTAAACTTGTGGAGCTTAACTGAGCAAGACATGTGCTGATGTCTCTCCCTACAGTGACACCCATTGAAAGGAATACCTTCTACAAGAGGAAACGGGGAGCGGGGGGGGGGGGGGTTCTTTTCCAAACTGGTTTTCTAGCGACTTGGGTTGATTTCTTTTCCAAATCGGCTCTCTAGTGATTTGGGTTGCTTCACAGAATGATTTTCGTTGTTTTCATAACAATAACGATCTTATTTTCTTTCAAATGCAGAATTTGCAATTTGGGGAAACGGGTGGGGGAGGGAATTCTGTATTTTTCCCCTGGTTGAAGTGGGAAGACAGACCTCTTTTTTGTATTAATTGGATCCTTGAAATTCCCTCAGGATAGCAGTGGCTCTGTGTGGGCACAGGGCTCCCTTATGCTTCAATGTATCGTCCATGTTGAGAACAAATGGCAGGCGTTCTCGCACAAACAAAACCTAACAATGGGGCTGCAGCGGTCTGTCCAAAACAAAGTGCAAAGGGCTAGAGGGAATGGACTTTTTCAGACAGATTATATTAACTAAATTCATAACTCAGTCCTGTGCTTCCCTCTGCCTGTATGGACATAGATGCTTTTCTAAACACCAGCCTCCTATAGGTAGAAGGAGATGTTTTGACTCCGTTTGGAATGGAGGACTCAGATGGATAGTAGTTGCAAAGTTCTGGCCCCTATTCCCTCTTGTATGCCTAGCACAGAGAGCTTAAGCTAGGCTATGGGCTGCTCTTCTTCCCTCTCTCTCCTCTCTTTCTACGTCTTGGAGCTCCAGGCCTCTCCTTTTAACTCAAGCAAGGAACCACAGGCATCATACAAGGATGAGTAAAAGGGACCTGGATGTAGACTTCCTGCCTATCCAAAGGAACCTACTTCTCCTTGCTGTTCTCAAGTGCAAGTGTCCGGAAAAAGGCAGTGAGCTAGGGGCCCTGGATGCTAGCGTAAACGCGGCCCTTAGCGGCGTGGCACCAGAGCCAGGGGGATGGAACAGCGCGTCTGTGCTTTCCACGTGAACCTGCAAGCTAGCTGCTTGCTGGCTTTCCAGGTGCCGGTTCGCCGCTGCGTGTGCCCCACTGCAGCAGAGAGCAGCCGCAGCCTCTGCCTCGGCCACCACGGCTGCTGGGGAAGAGTCCTGGGGCTGCTGACGCGGTTGGGAGGAGCCTCGCCTTTAATGCACCAGCCGCCTCCAGCCTCCTGCAGCAGCGGCGGCGGCGGCAGCTGCTGCTAGTGCGCGCGTGTGGGTGTGAGAGGCACTGCGCTGGCGCCGGCCGCAGCGCCCTGCCCAGCTCCCCGCCGGCTTCCCTACCCCCGCCTGCCCGAGCTGCCCTCCTGTGGGACCAGCACCCTCATCCCAGCCAGGCAAGCCTGGATCCTGCCCCTGCCATCTCGCCACTGCAGCTTGGGTCCAGAAAGGCACCATTTTGTCGCGGCTGCCCGCTCTCCCAGGGGGAGGAGGGATCTTTTTTGCATTTTGGGGCGGCTGCCAACGAGGGGAACCTGTTGGGCATCTTCCCAGCCCCGCTTGTGAGCGCCCCCGGGGCGGGCGGGCGGGAGCAGACCCCTCGGGGCACGGCGCATCGTGGCACCTGGAGGCAGCGGAGGCAGGCGCAGCATCCTCGCTGGGAACTGGAGCTGGAGTGAGCGCACCGCGCGGGAGGAGCCGCCGCGGCCTCGGAGAACCCGAGCGGAGGAGGTGACAGCTCCATTGCCGGGTTTTTATTTTTTTTCTCTCCGCCTCCCCGTCTCCTCCTCAGGCTCGGACCATGGTGCAGTCCCACTGGCTCCCCTGCCCCCCTCTCCTGTGAGACTGGCTGCGGGGAGGGATCATGGATACTTGTCTACCGGCTTCTGGTTCCCACGCAAGTAAGCCTGCTGTCAATGGAGGAGGACATTGATACCCGCAAAATCAACAACAGTTTCCTGCGCGACCACAGCTATGCGACCGAAGGTAACGCCAGCCCCGCCGCATTCCGCCGCTGGGGCCGGGCGCAAGTTGCGGATAGCTGTGCCTCGCGGGCAGCCGGGCGCCTAGCGGCGGAGACTCCCCAGGGCCCCGGGGCTGGGGCGGGGACTCGGGTCGCACGGGCAGCCGCCAGTGCGCCCCACAGCCATCCGGGCTCCGCGAGGCGAGCCCGGCGTTCAGCAGCAGGTGGACCCGGCGTCCGCAGGAGTTAAAATGGCCCTCGGGGATTAGGCTTTTCAGGGTGGGGCTCCCGGTCGGAAAGATGACCCCAGGAAGGCTGGTGACCCCTCCCTCAAGATGTTTGCAGGGGTCTTGGGGGGAGACAAGAAGGGAGGGGCCCAGGAGCACCTTGGTCCACCCCTCCCTGAGCGGAATGATGTTGTGTCTCTCAGTGGCTGCAGGGAGGGCATGGTTTCATTTCCTGCTCATTCATCTCTGCGGCCGACCGGGTTACCTGCTTAAACAATCGAAACCCCAAAAGGCCCTTTGCAAAAGGGCGAGCCCCTCTCCCCTTGGAAGTGCATTAGCAAGAAATAAAAAGGTGGCTGGGGAAATAGTGTTCCGGCGGCGAGCGAATGAGGTTGACACGTGGGCCAAGTAACGCGATCAGTGGGGCCTTTAAAAATCACCATTATGAATTCTGCAGCAGTAGTTTCTGCTGAATCAACAGCCAGCAGAAAGCAAGTGGGTTCAGCAAGCTGAGCTTTGCCAAGAGGTGAAATTGTCATCTCTCTCTCTCTCCCAGCTTGTTCCGACATCAGCCCTAGTGCTGTGCAGGCAGGAAAGGAAAGTCAGCAGGTGGAATCTCATTCTCCCTTTTGTGTGTGAATAGAGTGGAGGCATTTTTTTTTTTAATGCCAACAAAAAAAGCATGATATGCACTTATTAAAGACATTTCCTATGACTCTTTTTTTATTCTGGCCATTAAAGTTACTGCCCTCCCCTACCTTTTCCTGTCTTTCCTACCTTTTTAAAGTTAAGATCTTTGGGCAGCTTCTCTGGTTGGAATGGCCACAAAAATAAAGTCAACAGAATGGTTTGATTTGCTTTTTCAGAAATAGAACTACAAGTTTCCTAACCCAGGGTATATCTCCCAAATTTCTCAGATCTATATGTGGATTTCTTTCTGTATTTTTAGTTTCTGTTAGAGCCAACTAAAATTTTATCTCTATTACAGTAGTCTATGGGTTTTCTAGATTAATCTTCCTACTTTCAAATGGGGCCACAGATAGACAGAATATTCTACATAGATGGAGTGTTTTAAAATAACTGCTGTGTTCTCAGTTCCCTTAGCTGTAAAATGGGAATAACAATAGAACCTATGGCACGGGAAAAATTATTCGATACAGAGAAGGCACTCAGGACGGTGCCTAAAACAAAGCCAGCCCTCAATAAATGCCCTCAGTACATTATAGATGTTGTTGTTATTACTTAAACTGCATTTGCATAGCAGGCAAGCTGTTTTCCCTTGGATTGTGTGTTGATTTGGGGTGATCTTGAAGGAAAGGGCTATTGGAAATAGGGGAGAGGTCACTGAAACACACCGCAGTCTTCTCTTGACTCAGCCACTTGCCATCTAGTAATTTGTCTTAATGTACTTGTTGGTAATATTCTGGTAGCAAGAAAGTTCCATCTTCCCTCAGAGGCCTTTAAAAAACTTGTCTTAATTGTACATATTAAAGGAAGAATAAATTCATTATGCTGTGTAGCTCTTTTCAATTATTGGTTCATTCTGCCGTTAATTCCTTCAATAAATATTAATTGACTTTCTGCAGAAGTGACACAGCATGTTCCAATACACATGTGGTCTCTGTTCTCATGGAGCTTTCAGTTTAGCAGACGAGGTAGAGATTAGACGAATAATTTTGCAAACAAATATGTAGTTACCAATTGTGATAAGTGATATTCAGGAAAGGCACAAGGTACCTTGAGCTCATATATAAGATGGAAAGGTGGATCTAATTTAGACTGGGGGTTCAAGGGCAGCCTCTCAGAGATAGTTTAAGCTGAGAACTAAAGGATGAGTTCAGAATTAACAAGAGCTGTAGGCATTTTAGGTAGAAGAGACAATAGGTACGAAAGCTCAGAGATATAAAATAGTTGGACAGATTCAAGGAATGCAAGGACAGCTGTGGCTGGAGTGTAGGGAACGAGGGTGGTGGGAATGAGACTGGAGTCTGCAGTTCATTTTGGAATGCACCAAAAGCAAGAAAGATTAATGCTAGGATAGAGGGATGGATAAATGGATAGAAATATGCTAAAGCAAGTATGAAATGTTAATGGCAAAATCCAGGAGGTGAGTCTGTTAATATTTACTGTAAATGTTTTTTCCAATTTGCTGTCTTTCTGGAAATTTTCAGAATACAATGTTGGCAAAAAGAGACTGGAGCGGTATTCAGGGACTAGATCATGTCAAGCCTTGTTGACCATAAGGAGTTTGAAATTCATCCAAAGATGGATCAAAAGCCATTAAAAGATTTTGATCAGGGGTGGAGGGAAATATGATCAGGTGTGTTTTTTTAAAAGCTCAGTCTCTCTGCTGTGTGGGGTGGGGTTAGGGGACTGGGTGTGAAATGAGTAAGAGGGAAAGCTGGGAGATAATTGGCCATCTTCTGAGATGGTGGCAGCAGTAGAGATGCAGAAAATTAGATGGACTTGAGACACAGTGTAGAGAAAGAATGCATAGCACTTACTTGTTGTGATAGACTGGGTGTAGATAGAGAAGGTGGTGTCAAGGATGTCCGGAATTCTGCCATGAGAATGGATGTGTGAGGGGACTCATCAGGGAAACAGGAAACAGATTTTTGCAAATTGATTAGTTTGAGGAGGCTGTGAGACATCTACTTTTACCATGAGACTCTCGGGCAAGCATTTGGATATCTGGGTCTGAAGCTCAGAAGAAAGACCTGGACAAGATATGTAAACTTGGGATTAGACATCCCCAGCCTATTAAAAGTACGTATTTAAAACTATATGAGTAGATGAGATGCCCAGGAAGAGAGTATTCCAGGACAGATTTGAGGCAATGAGCGAGAAGTTACATGGAAACTGATCTTGGCTTAGTATAAAGAAATGGCAACAAAAAAGTACCTCACAATGGAATAAGGGCTTTGGTAGGTATAATTAACCACACACTGAAGTTATTTGATTAACTCTATATGGACAATTCTCAGCAGTGTGGTAGAATAAGAAGCAGTGTGGTAGGTGAGTTGAGTTTAGAGGGTCTCCAAACTTGAGATCTGAGCGATCTGTGAAATGTTATAGCTTCTTAGGGCCACAAGAATAAAACCCAGGAAGTATAGGTTCCCCTCCCCCATCCCAGTAAGCTCAGGAAAGAGGAAAGCTATGATGAATAAAGCTAGGGTGGTACATGAAAATGGCTTTTGATATGAAGATGCTGGAAAGGCATTGGAAAAATAAAGAGGTGGTATCATATGATGGAGAGATGCCTAGTAGTTCCTTAAGTTGGTTTGGTATTTGTATGCAAATGCCAGATCAGAATAGTATTTCCAATGCATATGGATGAATGTTTGAGCTCTCCTCTGTTCTCAGAAAAACCTGAAATGGGAGGTGGGAAGAAGCTGCTTTCCGCTATTGTAAATGACCTTTCTGGGGATGGGAAGTGTTCTGCTACTAAACATAATAACCAGAGTGCATTGAAAATCGCTAGCAAGTATTTATTATTAGCATCCAGGTCCCTAGGGGCAATTCCAAGCCCTTTATGAGTGCTGGTCAGAACCATACCAATGAACCTGGAGTGAATAATATTAGGCCAGTCCTGTCAAAATATTGGCAATGCTCAATGAAAAGAGCACAGCTGTAGCCTGACATTCCTAGACTTTGGCATTTGCATTTAAGAAGAAACTAAGGGTCCGATTTAGACACTTAGCTGAGGGAAGAGAACTAAGGTATCCTGAGTATTGTCAGGCATTTTCCTGGGTGTTTCTTGTATGTTTTCTCCTTTAATGTCCATCAACGGCCCTGAGATAATGGTTGCATTAGTCCCATTTTTCAAAATAAGAAATTCCAGGGTGCAGAGGGCCGAATGAACTTGTATAACAAATATCTGTATTGAAACCTACTTCCTTTTAAGTGGCATAATCAGATGGGGCCCGTGACTGCCTGGCCTCCAGGCACTAGATCTTTGCCTGCTGTCAGGATTTTGGGAGGAAATGCAGGTTGTGCTCTACCCTCCACATACATCCCCTGATGCCCACTCAGTGCTACTGGACTTGCTGGCTCTGTCTTTTCCCAGCATATCTGTGCACTCCTCTGGTCTTCCCCATTGACCTGCAGGGAGGGATCTGAATTTCCCCACCCATTGTCAGAATCCTTAGTTGACTTACTCCTGTAGATTTATCTTACTCAATAGTGAGAAAAGAAGGAAATATTTATGGAAGAGAGCAATCAAAATATGAGAAATAGCTGGGGGGTTTTAACAGTCTTTGCTGTGTCCCTTACCCCCAACCTAGGGCATGAACAATGCAGCTCCTAGACTGAGCAGTGATGGTCCCACTAGGCCATCTAGGCACCTGTGCTCCAGGGCTGATGGCAAACTCATATCGATAGCTGGGGGGTTTTAACAGTCTTTGCTGTGTCCCTTACCCCCAACCTAGGGCATGAACAATGCAGCTCCTAGACTGAGCTGTGATGGTCCCACTAGGCCATCTAGGCACCTGTGCTCCAGGGCTGATGGCAAACTCATATCGTTGCCTGGACCACAGCAAAAGGAGTGGGCTAGAGGCAGCTGTGTCATGGCAGATGTCCTTTCACACATAAATGTGGAGATATCAGAGGCCTCACGTTGGCCAGAGCAACTCTACAGCCTGCTCCCCACATCCCGCATTAAAAAGATGAATTTACTTTCACCCAATTTGTTGTCTTTACCACCAAATTTCTTTCTTTTGCCTTTCCAGTAGAACTCTAAAATCAGGCTGGAAATCAGTTCTGACATAACTGTCCCAGTGAAAGCACAGATTCTTTTT